TGAAACTAAACACTGCAGAAATCTGCCTTACATTTGGGTGTTTATATGGCAGAAGCAAAAAGAAAAGGAGCATGTGTGTGTGCGTGTGCGCCTCTGCTGTCTGTCAGTTAATTGTACTGCCACCCAAACACTGGCTGTTCAAGACAACTGGATTTCTAACTTCAAAGTCATGCATATCACTTTGAAAGGCTGCAAATGTATTCCCCTATCCACATTCTGATCTCCATCCAAAAAAGCCCCACCACACACACACTCACACACACACACGCACACACACACACACACACGCCCTGCCACCAAAAACAGGCCATTTCCCATTAGCTTATTAGAGCCTTAATTGACATCTCCTGCCCTTCAAAGCAGAAAGTCACTGCTTGAATTGCTAATGAGCCACCAAAAAGTGCCTTTCCTTTCCCAAAAAAACTCGCAGTAGGAGAAGGCATGTTTCTGATAAGTGTGGACAGTCAAGCGACAACTTTGTGCAAAGCTGCTATGAAACTTTTTCTGCAGCTCATATTTTGTTTGTTGTTTATTCAGAGCTTCAGTCGCTGGCATGCAGGTGACAGTCATGACAGTTATTGCTCCCCTCACCTGTCAGTCATATGTTTTTCACATAAAAATATAAAAGACGCAGCATGACACAAACTGTTGCGCGACCTCCACACTTCTTCACGCTGAGAGGAAGACGTTTAGTTGGCTGGAGCCCACTGAGACTTTTGCCATCACAGCTGATTTATATGCCTTTTGAGATTGTGTCATTTGCTTGCAAAGGTTCTGGTAAAAGAGGATGACAAATTGTTTCAAACTAACCCATTGTGCTGCAGTTGATGACTAATGATTGTGGGAATGGATCCTACTTGGCTCAACAAATTTCACCACGTACGAGGATGATGCAACGCTGACATTTTAGCAAGCAGGAATTATACCAGATCATCTGCACAGTTTGACTTGAATTTACCATCAGATGGTCCCACCTTTTAGACCAGGAATTAAGTGGACATACTCTGATTTTCTTTATTTTTGGTCACATATGTATTATTACAATGATGAATGCTCCTAATAAACATGAGCATACTGTATGTACATGTGAACCTAGGATTCAGAGTGCTCTAAAAGCCTTCATTTGTTTGTAAAATGATGCCAATTAGAGGAAGGGATAAATAGCAATTTTGATTCATGGAAACTCATAATTTGGTTGACCATCAAGTTTGTAATGCATAATTCAGGCTAATACATGCATCCATAATTTCTGTCTGCTTCTCTATGATCCAAGTTGTATGAAACTAAGTCATCATAAACATTATTAATCTAATTTACTACACACATTTCAACCAATCTGTCATTTGTGTTTGCAGGTCTATACGACACAGCATGATTTGGTCCTCTCCATGGAACTTCAGGCTTTAACCCAGAGTTTTCTCTGTTATGCAGGTGGTTCACATCGCCATGGTAACTTACACTGCAGACCTAACCTGCTCAAGGGGAGATTGTGCTCGAGGTAAAAGATCGACAAGCATGTAATCACTGCCTAATGAATAATTCAGATCACTGCAAAATAGAGTCACTACTCCTGGAAGATCACCCGGACTTCAGTGTGTGGATATTAAAAGATTAAATCAAGTTTTTGTCCTTCAAAAAGAGCATCAGTAGGAAATATAGATTCACTTAAGCATTAACTTACAAAGTCGACATTTTTTTCCAACTTTTCTTTTGTCGTCAAGTGCTCACACGTTCATAGAGCATTTTTATTTCCATACTTTTCTCCTTTCTCACGCTCTCTCGCACAGCACACTCTGCTGCTTTGTCTGCAGCAGCTTTGTTGCTTTCAGTACAATATGTTTAATCTTGTCATATTTTTCAGCATTTTAGTTTCCTTTCTGTTGTAAAACCAGAGGCAGACCTGAGGTGGACCCTATGTTCACTTATTGAGGTGGTAAAATTTAGCTTTTTATGATCGCTTAACCTGATTGGTTCGAGTAAGTGAAGCCAGATAAGCAAAAGATATTCTGGGTATGCTGAACGTGCTTCACAGCACAGGGCCCAGTTAGATGCTCTCTTTTCTAGCTGATCTTGTTGCTTCACCCCTACAGCATTTTTTTTACTGCAAACAATTAAAGAGAATGACTTTAAAACTCATCAGAATATATAATGATGAGATAAAGCATTCGTGTGAGACTCTTTGGATGTGCCAGGGAGTTTTTAATTTTGATAAAGCTGGAAAGATATTCATCAATTACAAATCACTGTAAAAGCACAAATGACACTTCTTGCCACACATTGTCTCATTTAAATTAGACAAGTTCCAACCGATTTTTCATGAAAACAGGCCGTCCTCTGTGCTGAAGAAAATGCAAGAGATGCTACAAGAATATTGCGTTTACACAATCTAGTGCCTCCATAAGACTTTATACATCACCGGTCTCTTGTTGGTTATACTACATGACTTAGATTTGGAATGTAAAGGCCTTTGGATTCTCTAAGGAAGCACCATACAATAAATAAGGATTATTTTGAACTGTGAATCATTCAAAGCTGGACTTGTAAAGTCCAAGATTTAAAAAAAAATCTACTTACAAATAACAGTAACATAAAACGTGCGCTTTAATAATTTGTATATCTTAGACTAATAGATTCGCTTTTTATGTACCAACTGACAAGGTAAGAATCAAGAGCTAAACAAACTGAGGTATGATAACCATTGTTTACTGAACATTTGTTTTTATCTTGTTTATTTCCTTATTTTTAATTTATTACTTTTACTGGTCTTTTCGAAAATTGTAGTTACAAAAATGCTGGGAAAGGGTGGGCGTAAAAAACTAAAGCGTCAGCCTACAACTTTTTGCTCAATAATTTTAATTATTTCCATTTAATTCAATTTTTTGCTGTCTATTTTTTTTTTTTAAATTTGATTCACTTAAAAAAATATCATGTGTTTTTAAAAATGCCATGAAAGCTGATGGCAGCATTCTTCAGTCCAATATGAACGTGTTTTGTAATCTAGTAGACGGATTAGAACCTGGAGCCTGCCCTTTATTACTGCCTAATGGTCTGAAAGCCGTTGAGCCAAACACACGCACACTGCTGATGTTTCCTGTAACTCAGGGGGCTTTTAGGACAAATACTGAAAATGCAGCAGCATTGTCTAACTTTAGAACACTTCCTCTATTCCAGTGTAGGCAGACTTTGCAGACCATTTCAGGCTGATGGAAAACACCCCTCAGCCCTTATGCCATATTTTCCATCAGGCGTGCATGTCAAAATAAAATCCCTGGAGGAAAAGGCTGGCTGCAGTGGTTAATAATAATAAAGGGAAACAAGCAAAGACAATTGACTGTTTGCTGAGGTGCATCCTCTGAGTTACTGTTGCTAAGCCTGAGCTTTTACGGTTTACACTGATAATGGTGGCAGATTTACAGCTTCAAAACGAATTTATATAAACAGTTATCTGCATTTAAATATGCACAATCTGTAGGAATCTGTTGGTTTCCATTTGTTGATGGAGTAGCACTGACGTTTGAACAGGCTGCAGGCAGATTAACCGTGGAAAACAGGAATGCAATGGATGAAACACAATCTTGAAATCTTTGGCTATAATCTGATACAACTCAGTTTTTCAGACTTCGTCTGCAATCATAATCAGACTGCACTAAAAGACTTGCATGCAGAACAGGAAGTCTTGTTTTCAAAGTCTTTGTTTTATCTTGGCTTTTTATATGAGACAATTGCTGTGACCTACCAATACTGGCTGTTGCCCTCAGAAGTTATTTACGTTATGCTGTCATGAAATCAGCTTGAAGTCTGCCCAGAAATGTGAAGCTGATACACTGACATCTGCACAAAGTCCACACTCATTATCTGATGACGAAATTTATGTCATCCAAAGCAGACTTATGGGCAAGAAAGCCAAAACTCACCTTAGCATATCATTCTGAAGTCTGAAGTGCTTCACTCTTCACAATGATATTACCTTTACATCTGTTTACCTAATTATTTGACCTGTTGCCCTTGTTTAATATGAACATATAAATTAGGTTGACAGCACCCATTTGACTGACTCAGAACAATGGGAAAGTCCAGTCATAAAGTCAAGTTGTAGATTTACACAAGTTGGGAATGTCTCTTGTAGCTGTTTCTATTCAACCGCAGATTTCAAGGTCATCAGTTCAACCAAGTTTCATAAGTACAAGTTACAGATGTGTCACCACTTTGCCAAAGTCTAGAACAAGACCCAAATTGTCACATTTAGGTGAGAGGAAATTGGTTGGGATGTTCAGGAACAACCCAGAAACCACCACAGCTTAAGCCTGCCATGAACTGGAAACTGCTGAAACACCAGCATTACTGTCCACAGTGAAACAAGTTGATTAAGCAGGCTAGCATTAAGCTTCTGGAATGGTCTTCCTAAAGCCATATATATTTATTGATTGTGTACTGTGCCTAAATGCTGGGTCCATGCCAGGAAACCAACCAATTTACATGATCAGTTCTGCCAAGAAGAGTGGTCAGAGATCCAGCCAGAATTATACCAGAAGCTTGTTGATAGCTATAAAAAAATAAATTATATTCTAACCATGTGAGCCTGTATATATATTTTTATACTTGTTTTTCTTTTCAGACATTAAAGAGTATGCTCTTTATTAATTCCACCCTGGAAAAGTTCAAAGAAATCATCAAAAGACCAAAATTCAATGATGTTCATCCATGAGATACACTTACATAAACCTCTGACCACAATTCTAACTATTAAGCAATGCCACATAGGGACTTGATACAAATTTGATAAAGTCTTCTCTACATTTTTGAAATTAGTTTCCTAACATGGTAATGTGCTGTTTCCTGTTGGGTCCACCTGAGGAAGCAGAGGCGTTTCCTGCTCCCAGATTTAGCCTTCTCACAAAATTTTAAGATGATTTATAATCATTGTCAGTGGAACAACTTGTTTCACATGCTATCATTGATTTACCAGATTTAAAGTTAAACAATGGACTAAATCTACTTACCTCACCAAGTCAGTCATACAGGAGCCAACCACCACAACATCAAAGACCTTCTCGGTCATGATCTGATGATTAAAAGCCACACAAACACAAACGGTTGTATTATTACAACAGGAACAATTGCCCTTTCTCCATTTAAATTAACTGTTCAATGAATTTCACAACATTCAAAAAACAGACAGAAGGACTTTAGCTGCAGCTTGATGGGGGCATTTCAGGCAAAATATGTAAACTAGTTTCTCAACAGCCTCCAAACAAAAATCACTTGATTTTATTTATCTCTCACATTAGCATCAGCTTGAGTGAAACAAGGAAGAAGGTAAAAATAGAGCATTCATGGCTGGCTGAGTTGGACAAATTCCAATCTTACTGGGGGTGGGGTGGCGACAGTTTCAATGCTACACCATGTGAATGCACCGCAGCACAGCAAAGTCTTTAATTAATTCAATCCTCTGCTTGTATCGGAGCTAATGCTAGTGTGTTAATCTCTTCAAATCTCTTCCTAGGCAGTGGAAGACTTGGAAAGCTTGGCCGCTGGCTGTAGGATGGCTCAATTCTCTCTCCCACATCTTGCAGAATAGTGTCTTCTCTCTGCAGGCATCAAGAACTTCACTACAGTGAAGAACTGCATTGTTTGACCACTTGAATTAGCAGGGATCCCCCTTCAAAATTCTCACTTGCTAACTAACTTGAGCTGAGCTATGATGCTCAGCAGACCAATGTGAGAAACTTCATTTATAATAAGCGTTTGCTATAAAAAGGTGTTGCAAAATGTGTTAAAAAATGCACATTAAGGAAAGGGCATGTTAAACACTACAAACAGTGTAATTAAAGTTGCATGTACAATGTGATACAATTTAAGACCTGCAGTTTAAATTTTTTTTTATGAGTGATACTTTAGCGTGTAGCCAGCATGTGATTGAGGTTCACACATATTAAACTTTTTTTTTTAAATAATATGATGCATGCTGTTTTAAGCGCAGACTGTGTTTGAAAGAAGGATGTAGATTGTTATTTTTCTGGAAGCAGTGTTAGCATTTTTGCAGCCACCATGTTGGTTTATTGCATCTTGGAATGACAATATGTGGACAAGAAGGTGGGATACAAAGCAATATGCTGATGCTTGCTAGCTTGGTTTACAAACTGCATCTACAGATGCAGACAAATGCTAATTTGTCAAATGGTCAAATGCTAATAAGTAACATCCAAATAAAATCCTAGAACTTCATTTACCAAAACAAGAGAATAGACCAGGGGTCAGCAACCTTTAACACCCAAAGAGCCATTTGGACCTGGTTTCCACGCAAAAGAAAACACTGGGAGCCGCAAATACTTTTTGACATCTAAAATGAAGATAACACTGTATATATTGTTTTTTACCTTTATGCTTTGTGTGAACAACTAAAGTGTGTTGCTTATGAAATCCATGAAATGTTATAGAGAAAATTATTTATGTAATTAACACATTTTGAACTCTTAAAGAAATATAACAAAAGGAAAGAGACCCAGCTGAACTAAAATGATGTAGCAAACAAAAACTGTTGTGAGCCGCCACCCTTAAGTGGTAGTGAAACTGTGGAAAGTATAACACAGAATGGTCAGTATTCACCTTCAAAATAAAAGCTGCACATTTTGTACACTTCAGAGAGTAAATGGCAATATTTGCAGAAAGATCTGCATCTTGCATGCAAACTATGGGTGATCTGATAGCAACCAAAGCAATCACAACAAGTGCTCCTCTTTTGAAACCGATTTTATTTGGCATATGCCAACAACCTCCAGGGACCACTAGGCAAACAGTTGAATAATACATATTTTCTCTAGAAACTGGTGGTTGCTGACTGGTCTTGGCCTGTGTGACTGGGGCCTTAGCAGATACAGCCACCTCTCAGTGACAGACCACACCCTCAATTTTAAGCATTACCAAAATCTGAACAGGTGAGTTATAAAAAATCACTCTAAGTACAGCTGCCATGAAGAAGGAAATTAGCTATAGAGATAACAACTGCTTTTTGTAGTAGGCTATAAATTTGTTATTTCTCCTTTAAAATCGCATATGTGAGTCTATGGAGATTAACTAAGCTTTAAATTCAGCTTCCAGTAACCATTAGAAGAAACTTCAGCTTTTGGTGTTTCTGTGTTGGCTTCAGTTTTCAGCTATGGAGGACTATGGTTTGTGTTTTGCGGGTAATATTCCATTTTTTTGCTAGTTAATAGTTTAGAAATCCAAGCTAATATAAGAGATAAAACTGAAAGTTCTGTCTGTTTTGCTATATTATTAACACACTACATGAACCTATAGATGATTAAAAGGTATAATATTGCACTCTTGTCTTGTAACTGTGTGTCAGGTTGCATAAAATGATACAAAATCTGCACTTTGTTAACTCTGGTTTTAGATTGAACTGCAAACAAAATCCCAAAGAAAAAACTTTTGGATCAATTGTAAAAACCCTTGTGAGCCTGCATTCTTCCCAGTGTCTGGCTTAACTGGAAAATATTTTTATGGCAATGATACGACCATATCTGTATAACAAATGTTCAGATACGTTCAGATTATACACACTCCACCTCTACCCACACACAAACGCTAGCTTCCTTTGTTTTACTTCAATTCCCGGTGTCATAATCTCCTAACCACTTAAGTTAGACCAACTTCAAGCTGAGAGTTGAACTAGTAAACAATTTCACCAGAGTACTTTGGCTCAACATATTTCTTGGGGGGGCTGTTTTTCCTGGATGCTTTGAGACTGACTGTGAATCACTCCCAGGAAGGTGGAAATTCCCAGTGGTGAATCAGACAAAACTGCCCTCATACGGTCTCGCCCGGTGCACTGATATAATTTCTATGCCTTTGTGCTCACCTTTCATTTTTATTTTGCAAGTTAGGGTTGTTCTGTTTGCACAAGAAATGACATATTTCAGGTCTTTCCCATGTTCACTCCATGCTAAATACACTCTCAGAAACCAAAAACCTTTACTACACTTTTAGTGTTACAACAGCTTGTCACTAAAGCTAAAATAAAGGCCTGTACCCTTGAAGAGAGGTACTTATTAGCCAACCTTGAACCTTAATATTAATATTTGTATTTTTTTTTTTTGTTGAGGCTTCCATATAATATAATGACCTGCTGATCAGAATGCTTTTCTTTTCTTTTTTTTTTAGCTAGCAGTAGTTGGAACTTGGTTGGAGTCACTGTTGGAGCTTGATGGTAAATTAATAGTCATGCATGGATCAATGCAGATTTGGAAAGGGGCCAGGATGACCCACCATATGTGGTGTCATTTCTACTGCGGCAGGAGTGCTGGCAGTGAATTTCTATTTTTATTTTACTGCTGTTTGCAAAACAGACCATTTAAAGTTGCCCTGCTAAAAATCAGTAAGTGTAGGGTAAAAAAAATGCAGGAGCAGCGAGCTCCTATTGTGATAGGCTAGAAATTCCTCCAATCCATCCCCAGCAAATTACACCAGGTTATACAGTTGTGGTCAGAAGTTCATGGTTCATGAGCATGGATATCATGGTAACTTTATGAAGTCCGTGAAGATCTAAGAAGAGGAATTGTAAATTTACACGAGTTGGAAAGGTCTCTTGGAGCCATTTCTAGAAAAAAAAAAATGCAGATTACAAAATTGTAGAAAATTGTACAAAATTTAGAGGTTGCCAACCAAAAATGAAGCCTTGAGGATTATCTTCAAATTATGCCAGAAGCTTGTTGATGGCTACCAAAAGCATTTGGTTAAGGTGCAACTTGCTAAAGCATATTTAACCAAATATTAGTGGGGGTGTATGTAGTGTAATTTTTACCATATCATTCAAGCTTGCGATAAAGGTCAACTTCAAAGACAATAATCAACCAATATATCAAATGACTAATATTATCAGCCAATGGTAGCCTGTTACATATATAGAAGTATTGCAGTCGGCTTTGTTTAAGAAGCAACAAAACAAACATTTTCTTTAAAGACTGTAATTCAGAGTAGGTCTGCTTGTTTGTTGCGGAGAACACGCACAATGGTGCTGTAAGTGGATTGTGAAATACACTGCTGGAAATGTATTAAAAAAGATTGACTGTGTTTGATTATACTTTGCCCTGATCCAATATTTAAATTGCATATCAGTGACAATAAGATGGACTATGACTGATCCATTTAATTGAGTTCTATATTGTTCTGTGTTTAATTCACCATCTGATGGAAGCAGTGCACTGGTAACTGGTGGGAAGACTAACATAGCGTGGAGGAAGATGACAACAAAGCCTCAGCAGCTTTGAAGCATTGGACTCTACCTACATCAACATTTTTTATCTTGATATTTGCAAAAGCTTTTAGTTTAACCACACACTTTGGTCAAGAGAGCAGAAATTACTGAAAACTTCCAAGAATGTTTTCTTAGCTTACTCGCTGTCACTGTTGTTATCTTCTGTTGTTGTTTGGAAGCTTTTACTGCACTTACAGTAACACCGGTGACATTTTGTTTCACTCCATTAATATATTTTCACATCGCATGTTTCTTCTCAGCCCAATGTGTGTGTAAGGAGCAGTTGAAGGAGGTGGACTCAGTGAAACTGTGAGACCAGGAAAGGATAAACTAGAGTACATTGAATATAAATGACAGCAGCCTGAAGAAATAGTTCTCACAATGAACTGATAGGAGACTAGATATGAATATTTTATTTTTTTTATCCTGCTGTAATGTATTATCTTTGGTACAATTCTTACATTTTATTTTATAAAGTTAGGAAATCAGTGTGTACTTGCATATAAAAAAGGATAATTTCCAGCGTCAGTCAAAGTGATGATTACTCAGTGGAACATCTCTGACTTGATCAGTGTCTAAAACCTTGTTAGACATCTCAGGACATCTTTTAATGGTTCCCTGAATTATTAATATTATGATTATTGTTACTGTAATCCTGCTCTTTGTAACTAGCTTCCTGCTAAACTGAGATCAATTATATCTGTGTCTACACTGAAAAACATACTTAAAACTTTTTTATTCTTATAGGTTTACACTTGACAGCTGTGTCTGTGTGTGTATATGCGCACGTTTGTGTTAACAAGTATTTTATTTTGTTGTTTTTATCCCCTCAAGACATTGTAGATTTACATAGTTTTTAGCTTTTATGGTAAATATATTGAGTTTATGTGTAATAAAATTTCCTATATTAAAAAAAGCAGAAATCATTTTTATTTTAACAATGGTATCGCTGCCTTAAGTCAAAGTATCTGCATCGGACTGGAACTGGAACAAGTTGAATCCATCCCTAGGAGTTTAGCAAAACCTGCTCAAGAACTGCTGGAGGAACACAAAAGGTTCTGAAGGGCTTGACAAAATCTGCAGCTCCCACGATCCAGAGCCCCCAAACTAAAAACCCTACAATTTGTTCCCAAGTCTCAATCTCAAAAATTGTAGGAGCCGTCCAGAGATCCTATATCTAGGCCTCGGTGATGATGGCAGTTGTAATGGTGGTGGAGAGGGAGGATAATTTTTAGGTAGGTGATTTTTAATAGTTGTAGCTGATCAAAGTATATCATGAATAATGGTTTAAAACTGGTATCAAATTCAATGATCCAGTATAACTCAAGCTTAGGAAAATAACTAAAAGAACCATTAAGTCAACCTTAATCTTTTAAAAGCTCAGTATCAGAAAATCTTTTCTTTTATGGTAATGTATTCACATATTAGAAATGCACGTACTTTACTGTACTTACTTGTTAATTGTTCTCTTTATCCATTTTAGCATATGGTAATGTCGTGTACAAGCCCAAATATCTTGTATTATTGGTGTACTGTAAACTCTTAGTACATGTCATTACATATGCAGCCAAATACTCTGACACCTCAAGTATTTGAGGAATAAACCGATCAAAAATCTAAAAGATCATGACCCGGATGAATTAGACAACCTCCAAAGTAAAATGAAGTGTGTTAAATTACCTGGAATTCAAATAATCTCCTGCGGATTGTAAAACTGAATACCCACTACTTGAAGTCCAAGGTCAAAGTGCACAGTGACAGGTCCCTGGCGTTATCGCTATTGCCAGATCAACCACTGTCATTTTATTAATGAATAAACGTTTAGATTTATTTGACAGTGTTAAGGTATAAAAATACCAAACAAAAACGCGCCATAGGTAATATATCACGAGGAAATACGGCTCCTGCAAGAGAATGAAAGTAAATTTACCCACAGGCATTATGAGAGGCACCTAACTGTGGGGCTATCACAAGGACCCAACAACAATATGAACCGGGAAATTGATCAGAGTATGAAGTAAACATTGGACTTTACCCTGAAATTTAAAGACTTCCATCTCTCTCAGGTACTCACACACCCGCCACAGGCTGTATTGAAATGGACGGAAATGGGCAGGGGAGGTTTTGAGGACGTTATACGTTTAAATCGTGTTAATTTGACGCATAAGTATGAGCTAAGCTAACAGTGGCTAACGATGCCAAACCTATGAGCATCTGAATTACAAACTGTGGCATAAACACTAATTTACCCTTAACGCATTCAATGTATCACCAAATTAGAACGTTAAAATGTTCCAACATTATATGTAATATGTGTTTTCCATGCGTGCTTATAGTGCGAAAGGAAGCTTCCAGTGTTGCAACTAAACCAGCTTCCTTCTAATGTTTTTATAGTAACACTAAAGTTTTAAGAAATGTTTTGTGGCTATTGTGTTAATGTGCCTTATTCTTCTCTTAAAATCTGTATTTTTCAGAAAAAGTTGGATAGAAAGGTAGCAATTTTAAAACAGGAAGGGGAAAACATTTCAATAATACCAGGAAATGATAGCTGAAAAGTAAAGCCAGCGATATTGCATTTTTGGAAAGCTATGGGGAGTGAAAAAATACTTTCGATATATGCATTTATTGCCTTTGACTTATATGGAAAGGGGAAAATAGAGGGTTTTTTTTAATTATTATGAAAAAATGCGTATTCAATCATAGTTAAAGTTTGTAGTTTAAAACTGATAATAATGAAACAACTTTATTTATACTACTTCGTTGGTTATAAGGCTCAATTTTACTTTATAGATGTTTCCGATTTGTTACAAAATGTCCCAGATAAATCAGGGCCTGTTGCCACTGTAACTGTTCTTTAATGTTTTTCAAAAATGATTTCCTTTGAAGAAAATGAGAGAAAGAGAAAGACAAATGAAGGACAGTTGGTAATCGGGAAGTGCAGAGAAATAATAAGGAGGAAGTGAGGTTAGCTATGAAAAGAATGAAGTGTTGAAAGTGGCTAGTCTGGATGACATACCTGTGGAGGTATGGCTATATCTATGAGAGAGGGCAGTAGACTTGTTAACTAGACGGCTGAACACAGTCTTGGATGGTGAGAGACATCTGAGTATACTGGTACAGAACAAGAGTATTGTGCAGATCTGTAGCAACTACAGAGGCATAAAGCCAATGTCTCTGTAGCTTCATACCATGAGAGCTTCATACCTCTGTAGCTTCATACCATGAAGCTATGGGAAAATGTTGTTAAACCTAGGTTAAGAAGAAAGGTGGTAATCAGTGAGTAGCACTATGGCTTTATGGGGAGAAAGCGCAGATGTAGAAGATCAGAAGGAGATTCACTGTGTTTCGGTGGATCTAAAGAAAAGTAGGGAGCAGGTTGAAGAGACTGGATGAGGTTTGGCTGACCTAAGGTTAATCATTGAAAAACAAATTCTGACCTATGTTTTGTTAGAATTCTAACAGGGTAAAACAACTGGCAGCAGATCGATACCAAACACTAATATTTCATCTTTCTACTGTGTTAATTAGCTTTTTAATAAAATAATTCAAAGCATTTCTATACTGTTATCGTGTCTCTACAGACTGCTCACAGTGGGTAAAATGAACAATATGTCCCCTGAAGTCGCACTGCACCGGATCTCACCTGAGCTGCGTCCCCTGCTGTGCAGTGTGGTGAGGAATGGCCGTGTGGGACTTGATTCCACAAACTGCCTCCGTGTCACAGATCTCAAAACTGGGTGAGGACTAATCACATGTTACACAAATGATGTCTGTAAGCAAAAAGTTAACTGGAGCTAAATGACAAATATTGTTACAGTACTGTGCAAAGGTTTTGGACCAACCCACAAGGTTTTTGCTAAATTTTTTTCGCCACTATACTTTTTTTAATATGCTGCTCATAAAATGGGAAATGGTTGCAGTGATTTATTAAAGCATCTCATGGAAATACAGTCTATAAGGGGGAAAAATGTCTGTGATGTTTGAATGAGTTTGAAAGTCAATATTTGGTATGACCAGCTCTATTCTGAAATCTCTTGGGCAAGCTTTCTCGTAATTTCTATAAGCAGTTCCCAAGAATAGTTCTCTGGGCTTCTTGAAAGACATTCAAAGCTCTTCTCTGGATGTTGGCTACCTTTTTGTTTTCTGTCAAGATCAAGAAGCAGTGCTGTTGATCCAGCACTGCTTCAACAATGTTGAAGTCTGAGCTCTTGGGTTGCAAATCCATGACTGAGCTTTCCATTTTCCAGGTGTGCTTATCCTGCCTTGGCAGTGTGTTAAATATCATTGCCAGGATCAAATTTAGATACATTACACCATAGGACCTGTTATCACTGATATTCAGTTCAGCTTTTGTGTAATTTGGCATACCTCAGCATTTTCCCACTGTTTGCCTTGCTTTTGAACATATTCTTTACAACCACCCTTCCACTGAGACCAGATACTGTTCAACTTTGGAAGATCTTCAGAAAGCTTGGAGAACTAAGTGAACATTGATTATTTCATGGGAATGCACAGGGTCTATTTTAGGTCCGGTGAGCCAAAAAGAGTGCCTAAGATTCTATGTTTTGTGTCACAAACAGCCCCAAATCCAAGGAGATTTGCTTTACTAAAAGAAAAGTATTAAATACTGTTTTGTGGAGTTTTCACTGCAGAATAATTGTCTGCTTAACTTATACTAATGAGTTTTTAATACTAGACTTAGCATAATATGTAATTTCAGAATTGTTCTGTATTCATTTTAATTTGAGATCTGCATGTGCACATATGCACTATATTGGCAAAAGTATTTGCTTGCCTGCCTTCATACGCATATGAACTTGCGTGGCATCCCTTTCCTAATCCATAGTTTTTAATATGATTTCGGCCCACCCTTTAGAGCTTCAACTCTTCTGGGAAGGCTTTCCACATGGTTTAGGAGTGTGTTTATGGGAGTTTTTGACCATTTTTCCAGAAGTATATTTGTGAGGTTAGACACTGACGTTGAATGAGAATGCCTGGCTCACAGTCTCTGCTCTAATTGATGCCAAAGGTGTTCTATCAGGTTTTGGTCAGGACTGGCAGGTTGATCAAGTTCTTCCCCAACAAACTCGCTCATCCATGTCATTATGGACATGGAGGTGTGTAGTCATGTTGGAACAGGAAGAGGCCATTTCCAAACTGGTTCCCACAAAGCTGTGAGCATGAAAATGTCTTGGTATGCGGAAGTATAAGAGTTTCTTTTACTTGAACTAAGGGGCCAAGCTGAACTCCTTGTTACGGCCGAGAGGCCCAGGCTGGGAGTATGGGCTCAAATGCAGAAACAGAGGGAGGCAAAGCTGGCGTGAATACAGTGCTTTATTTACAGTGCTTAGTTCAATTACATAATAGGAAATAATCTAGGCTATGTACTGTGAAGGCTATGTGGCCAAACTATGGAACATGAAGCTCAAACAGTGCGCTATGATTCGATGCTCGATCTAAGTAGAAATGGAAATGTTCAGAGATCGCACCAAAGCTTGGCAGCCTAGCACTGACGTGGGTTAGCTGTAGATCTGACAGAGGTCTGTTGTGAGCGCTGGTCTTATATGCTGGTGACTTGATTGCAATCAGGTGAGAAGGCTGATTGGAGTCTCCGCCTGAAGGTGGAGCCCAGCAGAGTGGAAAAACCACACACTTACCTGGACCAAGACACTCCTGAAAAACAACCTTACACAATAACAACAACTGTTCTCATACAAAAAAATAGGATAGTTTACCATGAAGTGTCCACTCTAAGATTCATTTATACAGTCCCGATCAAAAGTTTAAGACCACTTGAAAAATGGCAAAAATCATATTTTCCATGGTTGGATCTTAACAAGGTCCCAAGTAGAGTTTCAACACGCAACAAGAAGAAATGAGAGATTTTTCCTTTTAAAGCATGTGGTCCTAAACTTTTGATTGCCTGTAAAACGGCCTGTTTCATTTTAAGCGTTGTTTTCAATAAATTGCATGCTCAAAAAATGTTTTGTCTTCCTTCCTTTTCTTCTTGTTGCATATTGAAGCTCTACTTGGAACTTTGATAAGATCCAACCATGAAAAATATGATTTTTGCCATTTTTCAAGTGGTCTTAAACTTTTGATCAAGACTGTGTAAAAATGTGAATAATGTATTCCATAATTAGATTCATAAGACTGTCAAAATGTTGTTTTTATAAAGATAAAGTGTCAAAAAAATATCCAACTCTTCCTAAACAGCAATATATTTGTTTTATCTCTATACTGATCCTAAAAAAAATCCCTGATGTTAACTGATTACTTGATTTGAATGTCTGTGTTTTCATCTTCCCTCATGTTCAGATGTACATCTCTGACGCCTGGTCCCTGTTGTGATCGCTTTAAACTCCATATTCCCTATGCTGGAGAAACCCTTAAATGTAAGTAAATGATTCACAGTCATATTTGGTCATTTTCAGATTAGTCACAAGAATTCAGTCTCTGCTTCTGACAGTAAGCTGATAGGTTGTTCTTATTGTTGGGTTTTGATAAATTCATTTTAGGAAAGCAAACATTGCTTTGCCATATTAAGTCATAAAGCAGTAGCAGTGAGATAAAGAACTTGGAGTCAGCTAAGGTTCTTCAGAAGCTTAAAATCTTGCTTAATTTTTGGCCTGTGTGAAAGTGATGAACTAATAGCAAACAAAGTTTGTTTTTTTTTTAAGTAAAAAAAAATTTACTTTAAAAAAAAGTAAAGATTATGAAGGTTTCATTACATTCCAAAAA